TTTTAGTAGAGACGGGGTTTCACCATGTTGATCAGGATGGTCTCCATCTCTTGACCTCATGATCCACCCACCTCAGCCTCCCAAAGTGCTGGGATTATAGGCATGAGCCATCATGCCTGGCCCGTCTCCTGATTTTTTAATGATTGCCCTTCTAACTGGCATGAGATGGTATCTCAATGTGGTTTAATTTGCATTTCTTTAATTACCAGTGATGATGAACTTTTTTTCTTATGTTTGTTGGCTGCATAAATGTCTTCTTTTGAAAAGTGTCTGTTCATATCCTTTGCCCACTTTTTGATGGAGTTATTTGTTTTTTTTCTTGTAAATCTGCTTTAGTTCTTTGTAGATTCTGGATGTTAGCCCTTTGTCAGATGGGTAGCTTGCAAAAGTTTTTCCCAATTCTGTTGGTTGCTGGTAGACTCTAATGATTGCTTCTTTTGCTGTGCAGAAGCTCTAAAGTTTAATTAAATCTCATTTGTCTATTTTGGCTTTTGTTGTTATTGCTTTTAGTGTTTTACTTATGAAGTCCTTGCCTATACCTATGTCCTGAATGGTACTGCCTAGGTTTACTTCTAGGGTTTGTATGGTGTTAGGTCTTATGTTTCTATCTTTAATCCATCTGGAGTTAATTTTTGTATAAGGTAAATGAAGGGATCCAGTTTCATCTTTCTGCACATTGCTAGTCAGTTTTCCCAACACCATTTATTAAACAGGGAATCCTTTCCTCATTGCTTGTTTTTGTCAGTTTTGACAAAGATCAGATAGTTGTAGATGTGTGGCATTATTTCCAAGGCCTCTGTTCTGTTCCATATTACTGTAACCTTGTAGTATAGTTTGATGTCAGGTAGTATGATGCCTCCAGCTTTGTTCTTTTTGCTTAGAATTGTCTTGGCTATGCAGGCTCTTTTTTGGTTCCATATGAAGTTTAAGGTGGTTTTTTCCAGTTCTGTGAAGAAGGTCAATGCTAGCTTGATGGGGATAGCATTGAATCTATAAATTACTTTGGGCAGTATGGCCATTTTCATGATATTGATTCTTCCTAACCATTAGCATGGAATGTTTTTGATCTGTTTTTGTCCTCTCTTATTTCCTCGAGCAGTGGTTTGTAGTCCTCATTGAAGAGATACTTCACGTTTGTATTCCTAGGTATTTTATTCTCTTTGTAGCAATTGTGAATGGGAGTTCACTCATGATTTGGCTGTTTTCTGTTATTGGTGTATAGGAATACTTGCGATTCTTGCACATTGATTTTGAATCTTGAGACTTTGCTGAAGTTGCTTATCAGCTTAACAAGATTTTGGGCTGAGACCATGGGGTCTTTTAAATATACAATTAGGTCATCTGCAAATAGAGAAAATTTGACTTCCTCCTTTCCTAATTAAATCCTTTTTCTTTTTTCTTTTTCTTGCCTAATTGCTCTAGCTAGAACTTCAAATACTATGTTGCATGGTGGGAGAGGGCACACTTATCTTGTGCCAGTGTTCAAAGGGAATGCTTCCAGTTTTTGCCCATTCAGTATGATACTGGCTGTGGGTTTGCCGTAAATACCTTTAATTATTTTGAGATATGTTCCATTGATATCTAGTTTATTAAGAGTTTTTAGCATAAAGGACTGTTGAATTTTGTTGAAGGTCTTCTCAGCATCTATTGAAATAATTGTGTGGTTTTTGTCTTTGGTTCTGTTTATGTAATGGATTATATTTATAGATTTGTGTATGTTGGACCAGCCTTGCATTCCCAGGATGAAGCTGACTTAATCGTGTTGGATAAACTTTTTGATGTGCTGTTGGATTCAGTTTGCCAGTATTTTATTGAAAATTTTTGCAGCAATGTTCATTATGGATATTGGCCTGAAGTTTTCTTTTTAGTTGTGTCTCTGCCAGGTTTTGGTATCACGATAATGTTGGTCTCATAAAATGAGTTAGGGAGAATTCCCTCTTTTTGTATTGTTTGGAATAGTTTCAGAAGGAATGGTACCAGCTCCTCTTTGTAAATCTGATAGAATCGGCTGTGAACCCATCTCGACATGGACTTTTTTTGGTTGGTAGGCTATTAATTGCTGCCTCAACTTCAGACTTTGTTATTGGTCCACTCAGAGATTCAACTTCTTCCTGGTTTAATTTTGGGAGGGTGTAAATATTCAGGAATTTATCAATTTCTTCTAGATTTGCTGGTTTATGTGCATAGAATCTAACTTTATTTACAATTGGAATCCTTAGTAAACAAATCACCCATGAAACTATTGAGAAACATTTGTTTCTCCTAAAAACCACCTTTTTATTCCCCCAAGGATATATTTTGGTGTTGGTAACTTATGAGTTAATTATCAAATATTTTATCTAATAGATATTGCTGAACAACCGATAGTTTAGATTTTATTTCTGTAGTTCTTGCACTTGCATGTACCTGTGGCTATTCTTGAAATAGTAAAATAGGGTCTGGCATGGTGGATATCTCCTATAACCCTAGCACTTTGTGAGGCTGAGGCAGGATGATTGCTTGAACTAAGGAGTTTGAGACCAGCCTGGGCAAGATACTGACACCTAGTTTCTACAAGAAGAAAAAAAAATATCTGGGTATGATTGCTTGCACCTCTGGTCTCAGCTACTCAGGAGGATGAGGTGGGAGGATCACCTGGGTCTCAGAGGTTGAGGCTGCAGTGGGCCATAATCACACCACTGCATTGCAGCCTGGGGAACAGAGTGAAATCTGGAAAAAAAAAAAAAAGGAAGAAAGGAAGAAAAGAAATAACAAAAGAAATGGTAAAGTAGTAAACCTTCATTGGAATTATACAATTATATTGTATAATTACAAGTTTGAACACAACAGAATACTAAATTGAAATTGAGATTAAGAAACAAGAGTTCTTAAGTGGTTGACCTATAGTAATATTTCTTCCTGTAAAATTTTAGGAATGCCAGTTTAAGAAGTGCTGTGATTATAACACATGTAAACTGAAGGGCTCAGTAAAATGTGGTTCTGGACCATGTTGCACATCAAAGTGTGAGGTAAGTTATCAATATTTATTAAAAGGAAATTGAACTGTGGTAAGAGAAGTCTGTATTAACTGAATCAATGCACAATGAATAAAAAGAATATATAAGAAATTTAGTGAAATAAAATATAGAGTACACGAACATACACATGTTTAAAGGAAAATTGCTATAAAATATAAAAGTCATTTCAGACAGGTACCCTTACAGTTACAGTTACTATCTGCATGGGTTCTATATATTGAATCATTCAATATGTGCAAACATGAATTAGGCACGTTAGCAAGATGCATTTGAGATTCATTCATGTTGTGGTGTATAATAGCAAATCATTCCTTTTTTAGTTGCTGAATAGTAGTGCAAATATTGTAAAGATATGTTACAGTTTGTTTTTATTTTTGTCTTATTCCCTAAACAATATAGTATAAATATTAACAGCATTTATATTATATTAGATAACATAAGTAGTATAGAGATAATAAAAATATATGAGAAGATGTACGTAAATTATAGCCAAATATTAGAAGATTTTATATAAAGGACTTGATTGTATTTTATATAAAGGACATGAATGTAATATCTGTAAGTTCTTGAAACAAAATGCCCATGGATTCTGAGTGATGACTCTATTCTTTAGTGTTAAACTCAAAAAGTTTACCATCTTCTAAATTATCAGATAAAGGGAAGAAAAAGGACGCATTGCTATATCCAAAAGGTTAACTGTTAGATAAATTATAGTTTCAAATAAATCATGCATGATTTTGGAAAAACTGTAGCATTAATAGCAGACAAAATGTGCAGCATATAGAATGTGTAAATAACTCACACTTATTGATAACTGAAATGCAAATCATACACACATGACTGAAACAAACAGTATTTTTTGATATTGGAATGGTTACATAAATTATTATGTATTGTACAAGTGTTAATAAATATGGGCTAAATATTCATGCAGTAATATAATATTGTGTCCAAGAAACACATGTGGATAAGAAAACAAGTTCCTTAATGCAAGATATTGTATTATTCCAATTCTAGTAAATCATCTTTATGTAAAAATGCTATGTATTCTTTTTGTTGAATTCAGCTATTAGTGTATAACATAATATACTAAAATTCTGTTAGTGAATATTCCCAAGTGTCAGAAGAAACATATTTAAGCTTACAACTAGCATCACAATTACGGGTAGGCAATGTCATCACTCCCCTCCCAAATTTCCCTGTGCCTCTTTCTACTCAATTCATGACTCCACCTGCAGCCGCTGGTAAGCACTGATCTGTTTTCTGAAGCTGTAATTTTGCTTTTGCAAAACTATTACATAAATTGAATCATACAATATGTACAAATGTGAATTAGGCATCTTAGCATAATGTATTTGAGATTCATCCATGTTCTTAAGTTTATTAGTTGGTCATTCCTTTATAGTGGCTGTATATTAATAGTATTGCAAGTATTGGAAGGATATTGCACAGTACCTTAATCCATTTTCCAGTTGAGAGCTATTTTGGCTGTTTTCCACTTACGGCTAACATAAATAATATTCATAAGCATATTTGTGTACAAACATCGTGTTTTATTTCACTTAGCTCGATACCTAGGAGTGGGGTTGCTGGATCATATAGTAAATATGGAACTTTATAGGAAATTGAAAAATGACCTTTCAAACAACTATATTATCTTGAATTCCCACCAGACACTTATGAGACTTATAGTTGCTTTGTAAACTAAATGTAAACTCTAAAACTATAAAAATATGTTTTATTTTATCTTTGCTACTTGTTATTTATACCTTTTAAAAATTATTTAAATCATTAATACATACAAATTATTGATTACAAATTACTGATTAGCCATTGCTTTATAAATTATTAATCAGGCTAATTTCATATCTCATTTCATGTGTAGTGAATAATTCTAGCAGAACATGAACATATACTATAAAAGCAAAATACATTGCTACTGTTTTTGCTGTGTATAGTCTAATCTTTTAGAGTAAATAAGAAAAAAGAATTTAAATTAATTAACGTCATTTGTTCCATTTCAGAGCTCTATTTCCTTTTGCAGATTTCTGTTTATTATCATATTTCTTGTACCTGAAGACCTACCTTTACTATTTCTTGTAATATATGTCCTCTGAAAATAAATTATCTCAGTTATTTTTTGTTTGTTTGAGACAGGGTCTGGCTCTGCTGCCCAGTCTGAAGTGCAGTGGCACTATCTCTGCTAGCTGCAACCTCTACCTCCTGGACTCAAGCCATCCTCCCACCTTAGCCTCCTGAGTAGCTAAGACTACAGGCACAAATCACCTGCCTAATTTTTGTATTTTTTTTTTGGTACAGATGGGATATTTCACCATGTTTCCCAGGCTGTTCTTGAACTCCTGAGCTCAAGGAATCTATGCACTTAGGCCTCCCAAAGTGCTGGGGTAACAGATATTAGCCACGGTGCCTGGTTCCTCAGTTATTTTTTGTCTAGGAAAGTCTTTATATTTCATTTGTTTTTGAGATATATATTTACAAAGTATGGAATTTTAAGTTACATAAGTTTTTTAAATTTCATCACTTTTAAGTTGCCACTTCATTTATTTATTATGCTTCTTTGTTTCATTATTAAGCATTGTATTAGTCCATTTTCATGCTGCTGATAAAGGCATACCTGAGACTGGGCAATTTACAAAAGAAAGAGGTTTAATGGACTCACAATTCCTCGAGTCTGGGAAGGCCTCACAATCATAGCAGAAGGTGAAAGGCATGTCTCATATGGTGGCAGACAAGAGAAGAGAGGTTGTCCGGGGAAACTTTTTTTTATGAAACCATCAGATCTTGTGAGACCCATTCACTACCATGAGAATAGCATCGGAAAGACCTGCACCCATGATTCACTTATCTCCTACTGGCCTGTCCCACCACATGTGGGAATTATGGGAATTGCAAGTCAAGATTAGATTTGGGTGGGGACACAGCCAAACCATATCAAGTATTAATTCCATTAAACTGGATTGGTGCGTGTGTGTGTATGTGTGTGTTTGTACATGTGTGTTATCAACATATATATCAGGGCAACATTTCAACATGGTGAACTTCACTATGGATGGCAACTGATTAGGTCAGGCCACTGCAAAATTTTGACAATAACCATACGCCTCATCTGAGTGATGCAAGGAAGCCTTTACTCTCTCAGAGAATAATAAATATATAAAAATGAGGCCAGGCATGGTGGCTCAAGGTTGGGCATGGTGGCTCACACCTATAATCCCAGCACTTTGGGAAGCTGAGATGAGTGGATCACCTGAGGTCAGGAATTCGAGACCAGCCTGGCTAACAGGATGAAATCCCACCTCTACTAAAAGTACAAAAATTATCCAGGCGTGGCAGCAAGCACCTATAATCTCAGCTACTTGGGAGGCTGAGGCAGGAGAATTGCTTGAGCTCTGGGATGGAAGTTGCAATGAACAAAGATCATGCCACTTCACTCTAGCCTGAGCAAAAATACACTGTTTACTATGTATTGTTCTAAGAACTTCTTCCATTAGGTCAACTCTATGAGAATTTGTTTTTTTAATCTAAGTTTACAAAAGTAAAACAGAAAGTCTGTATTTCTCACTCATACAAATAAGATAGTAAGAGTCAGAGACAAGGACTGAAACAAGGAAGTTCGACTCCTGAGTCTCTCCAAGAACAAAAAGGTAGAGACAGTGTTCCTATAGATACAAGGAACAGGTATGTTTAATCTGTTTAGTTTTTTTCTAATGCTGTCTGAGTCAGCTTGTCTCAAAATGTAGAGCACAAAGGTGGTGAGCAGCTGCAAATTCACTCTCAAAAGGAATTCTTATGTGTCTTTGAAATAGTTTTCTCTGAGCTTCACAATTAATACTGTATATAATTTTATTTATTTATTTATTTTTGGCAAACTCATGAACTTGGGAACTCTGATGTTCCCTCAAATGTCAATAATTAAAAACATTTTACATGATAAATCTTTTCACTAAGCAATTGAGAAAAGTGATTTACAGAACACAATTTTATTTTTTATTTTTCTCCCAGTTGTCAATGGCAGGCACTCCATGTAGAAAGAGTATTGATCCAGAGTGTGATTTTACAGAGTACTGCAATGGAACCTCTAGTAATTGTGTCCCTGACACTTACGCATTGAATGGCCATTTGTGCAAGTTGGGAACTGCGTATTGTTATAATGGACAATGTCAAACTACTGATAACCAGTGTGCCAAGATATTTGGAAAAGGTATTGCTCTTTCTTTCATATTTCTTTTACCTTAAATTAGCATCTCTCTGTAGAGTACATTATATATCACACAACTCTAGAAGTGGAAGAACTTGAACCAGAAGATTAATAAAAATTAAATTTTATTTAAAGAAGGCTAGTTTTTTAAGAGTTTCTGAGATTTTCCAAGAATAATACCACACATTATTTTTATTTTAGTTTGATTTTTGTTTTCGATGTTTAGCCAACTGGGCGAAAATCCATGTCTACAGCTGATCATCTATGTAAAGATTAAAATAGTTAATCAGTAGATTATAAAATTTACATAATTTCCCATTACTCCCCACATTCATTATCTAATTTTAATGGCATGAAGCTTACAAGGCTTGGAGTGAATTTCATTTAAAAAATTGTATTTCCTAATTGAGGAATAACTGCTAAGATAATGGTGGTCTCAAGCCAACTGATCAAAATTCATTTTTATATTTTGTTTTTCAAACAGCTTTGAGAGTAATTCTAATAAGACTTGTGTATATATACTTGCTTTTCTAGTGAGCAATTATTCATAATATCCAAATATAATTTTGCATTTTTAGAGGAATTAAATATAAACACATCAAAATTACCCAGAGAAATGCATATAAATACAATTATTTTCTAGTTGAGTAAAGGCGGTATACCAAAGTTCAATTGTTTGCCCAGTGGTAAGCTCAGGAATATAATTTATACCAAATGACATGGTATATGATCCATCTTGTCTTCCTAATTATTTGAGTAATAAACTTCAACCAAAATTCAACAAAAGCTGCAGAACTATGATTTCTTAAATCACAAGTCAGTACTATTTTCTGTGTGCTATGTTTCTAGAATGCTACTTTTTATGTGTGTTTTGTTTTTTAAATACTTATTTCTATTTGAATAATATTACTTGTTATTTTAACAGGGTTTAAAATATCTCTTAAAAGTAAAATTAAATAATAATTTCTGTAAGGTTCATTAAGGAGAGTCTATATTCTTTTATTCTTCAATTAAAAAAGCCTTCAACCTAGAATTGGTTTACTTGACACATGATATCTTTTTGAGTTCTGATTGCAAGAGGATGTTTAGGAAAATGTTGTGTATTTCTTTCTACATGTTCTGGGATCTCCACAAAACTAACATGAATGCATCAAAAATGTCATCTTCTGATGCAGTGTTTTGTTCATCCGTTAATTCATTCATCTCCCATTTTCTCTTTGATTCATTTACTTAGCTTTTTACTGACAGGCATTTTTCTTTTGTTACCAAAAACCATAGGGCAAAAGTCGACCGCTTAAGGTAGTATATTATATAGGACATGTTAACTAACAAGTAGTTACATTAATTTTGTGTTCTTTTATTAAGTAAATTTTAACTTTTAAAGAAATGTTGAAATATAAGTAGATTTGCTTATTCAAAATTTTACACTGAGTGTCTATATGCAAATAGCCTACAATATTCAACCAGATGGACATTGTCACATGATTATTGTACTCATGAAGCTTACAACCAAGAGAAAAACACAGTAAAAGAAAAGAAATATAAAACCTATAGCTATGTTTCTTGCATTAAAAAAAATAAAAAATGCTAAAAGAAAATTAAGGTTTGGAGAACTACAAACCACTGCTCAAGGAAATAAGAGAGGACAAAAACAGATCAAAAACATTATATGCTCATGGTTAGGAAGAATCAATATCATGAAAATGGCCATACTGCCCAAAGTAATTTATAGATTCACTCCTAACCCCATCAAGCTACCACTGACCTTCTTCACAGAACTGGAAAAAACTACCTTAAACTTCATAGGGAACCAAAAAAGAGCCCGCACAGCCAAGACAATCCTAAGCAAAAGAACAAAGCTGGAGGCATCATGCTACCTGTCTTGAAATTATACCACAAGGCTACAGTAATCAAATGATACTGGTACCAAAACAGAGATATAGACCAATGGAAGAGAACAGAGGGCTCAGAATTAACACCACACACCTACAGCCATCTGATCTTTGTCAAAATTGACAAAAACAAGCAATGGGGAAAGGATTCCCTGTTTAATAAATGGTGTTGGGAAAACTGCTTAGCCATATGCAGAAAGCTGAAACTGGACCCCTTCCTTACACCTTATACAAAAGTTAACTCCAGATGAATTAAAGATTGAAATATAAGACCTAATACCATACAAACCCTAGAAGAAAACCTAGGCAATACCATTCAGGACATAGGCATAGGCAAGGACTTCATGACTAAAACACCAAAAGCAATGGCAGCAAAAGCCAAAATAGACAAATGAGATTTAATTAAACTTAACAGCTTCTGCACAGCAAGAGAAACTATCATTAGAGTGAACTGGCCACCAACAGAAGGGGTAAAAATTTTTGCAATCTACCCATCTGACAAAGGGCTAATATCCAGAATCTACAAAGAACTTAAAAAAATTTACAAGAAAAAAACAACCCCATCAAAAGTGGGTGAAGGATATGAACAGACACTTTTCAAAGGAAGACATTTATGTGGCCAAGAAACATATGAAAAATGCTCACCATCATTGCTCATTAGAGAAATCCAAATCAAAACCACACTGAAATACCCTCATCTTTTAAAAAAGAGGTTAGAGAGAGATAAGGAGGGCTTAATTGAAAAGCTGAACTCTATCGAAGTTTGAATTCCTAATGAGGCATATTTTTCAGGATTAGGGCTCTATATGGGTGAAGAATGGGACCTACACTTGGAACAGAGACAACTGAAAACAGGACCATCCTAATTTTAAGCCTCTAGGATTCTTTGGGTCTATTGAACCTATAGAATGGTCTAGTTCTGATTTTTCCTCTGTCTTCTTCATAACATGAAGTATATTTTCATCAGTATCTTCCCACTACCCATCAAGGCCACCAGCTGAAAATAGAGAAAAGACACAGATAATAGAGACAGGGATGTGATGGACTTTATAAAGCACAAAAGAAACTATAGCCCAAAAAAAGATTTGGTCCCAGCCAGTATTTACTGACAGAATCATTGAAGTAAACACGGGACTGAATTCTGAGAGTGCTTGATCATGAGATTGAATGGAGGAACACAAGATGGGATAGGGGAGTATTTACTGTTTTGGAAACACTCTCCCAAAGAACGGCATTTAACATACTGGCATGGATACTAGAAGATTGTAAAATCTTTCTACTAGGATGGCTTCCAGTAGCCTGGAAAAAACATGATGACTCACCCTAAGTGAAGTTTAAATGACAGAATTGCCATAGCAGATAGTGGAGAAAAAAAGGAAAGGGCTCAGGGAAGTGGTAATACTGCAATCTGTGTACTGTGTATTTAAGGCCAAATGACTAGGCCAAACAGAAAAGCCCAAGGACATATGGAATGTGCTAGAGAAAGGGATACCATATTTACCATAAATTTCCCAAAGCTGACCTCCTCTATAGGCCACAGCAGGGATGCCACTATAGTAGTACACTCACTGGTAGCAATGGATGTGATAATATCTTCAAAAATCAAGAGCAGATAGCAGTGCTTAACTACCAGAAGCCAGATGAATAGTGTTATTGTAATAAGCAGTAGACACACAGTAGTAGACATGGGTACCTTCCCTACCAAGTGTTAGGGAGAGAGTTTATACAATACAATTTTTCTGTATTCTATGAGAAGTCAATGAGGGTACTACTCAATTTGTTCCATTAAAGGAAATGTATAAAAATAGATGACCAGGAGTTTGTGGAGAGTTGTCTCAGTAAATATCTCAATTTTATGTCCACATTCTGAATCTAAACCAATTTTCAGAACCAAAACTCATTGACTTAAGTGGTGGCAAGGGCCTTAGAAGAAAATCCCCATAACACCTTGGCAAATATACATGTTAACTGTTCCTCCAAGTGCATGATCTTTTTGAAATTAGAGTTTCCTTAGTCTGTTACTGATAAACATTTAATTTAGATTAAGAATGATAACTCAACTGTCACATTTGCATTTTAAGGTGCTCAAGGTGCTCCACTTGCCTGTTTTAAAGAAGTTAATTCTCTGAATGAAAGATCTGAAAACTGTGGTTTTAAAAATTCACAACCATTGCCTTGTGAACAGAAGTACGTATGTAGAAAATGATTGTTTCTTTGGATCATAAAAATTATGTATTTTTATCAAGAGACACTAAGGAGTAATGAACATTAAATTTTATAACATAACAATATTTTCAAATACCAATGCATATATTTTTTCTATACAATTCAGGATTTTCTATTTTTTTTTATATTATCCTAAAAATGACATTGGACAATAAAGGCTAATACTTAGTAACAGAGAAAGAAAATGCTCATACACTTTCAGAAATCAGAACTGCTACTCTATATTGAGACTTCAAATGAGGTTTTGTATTAAGCCTATAAATAGCAACAATCTTAAAGCAAATCTCAGGCTTTGATTTTTAAGACATAGGATTGTTGAGAAGAAGAAAGTTTTTTATGCTTTTGTTGATTGTGTCCAAAACAGCAATATTTAAAGCATGGAATTATATATTAATAGCTAAATTCAGACTATTGGGACATAATGTTACTATAATCCATGTAATAAAGGGATTCATGAAATCCAATAATCTAATCAAAGAAGAGCCTACCCCGTAACGAATGTTTCCTTAATGTTATCTTCCTTAATTTCATTGAAAATTAAAGAATCATAAACATTTATAACAGAGCCAGATTCAAAAAATTAGAGAATGGGAGTAACATTAAAATATTAGATACAATTAATTCAAGGAGAAGCAGAGATTTCTTTTAGTCTCGAAGACATAACCAAGGAAAAACATAAAATCCTTAGGTAAGCACCACACTCAGTATTGTTCAAAACAATATGGCTCCTTTATGAAGATGAGAAATGGATGAAGAAGGTATGCAGTAGGGTGGGGCTAAAGTAGTATCCTCCATCACCCTTCTCCATACATGAAATTATCATGGGTTATATATGCTGTGGAGAGGATACAGAGCTTCCCGCTTGCCCCAACACAGGAGGATTAGTACATGGAAAGAAGAAAGATGGAATCACAAAGAAAGTACTGATGGGTGGGGATCTCAGGAGGAGACCCTGCATAATCAGCCACACCTGTTGGATATTAATACAGGGCACCAGGGGTCAGCAGTCTGAGTTATGCCACAGCGGATCCTAACAAAGACAGAAGACAGTGACATGGCAGCCATATTAATCTCTCTCCCTGATGTTCAGAGGCACATCTGCTGCCTTTCTGATTATTCATGACAAAAAGATAAAGAAACTTGGGAGAAATTGTGAAAGTTAGCAAACATGACTTCTTTGGACTTTGTCTTATTTGATAATAGTACATGGATTTTCCTGAAATAAAATCATTAGATTAAACTATAATTGAATAGCATACATCATCTGATCTAAACAGACTGTGATTCCTTTTCAGAAAAGAAAAAATAGCTCTAAACATTTAATCATAAATGCAAATTTTTGGAAAATGGACTGGGGGGAAGAATCTGTACTCGGTAGCCAGACTAGAAGTATACGTACATACTATGCATGTCTAGTTTAGAATACATTTATAGAAAGAGAGCAGAGCCCAAATCAAAAGAAATATCGAGACCTGGTAAAGTAGAAAAGTTATGCTGGAGGAGGGACAAGAGTGGAATGCAATTTAGGTTTCGGCTCTTAATCTCATTTTAATCTTTACTTCTTGATGTAATTAAGCTTATTTTTCTGACACTGAAAAAACCTCAAATGGTCTTTTAGGACAAATGGGTAAAATTCTCTAGGAGGAGACTTTTGATGTAATAATAATGACATGTTCAATAGACACATATCAATGGCTAAAAATGATTATTTTCATTGAGGATGGTATTTGATAATTAAACTTTAATAATTTCAAGTACAAAAAATGACATAGATTATTTTTCAGAGCAAAGTCTAGAAATACTGTTAGCCTCATAGAGAAGCTAGTATTTTACCCAATGATAGATTACAAATGGCAAAATAAAGTGTCTGTGGGATAAGATATAACCTTTGGTATGTTTGTGGCATGGAGGGGATGTAAAAGTTATTAAATTTTTAACAGATAAGCTTAAATATACTGGAAATATCTGTATGTTGGGAGAAATTGTGGATCAAAATGAAAAGTGTGTATACTGCCGAAATGTACTGTCTAGAGATCTGACAGGAATGATAGGCACAATTTATTGTGCAGAAAAAGAAATGCAATGAACCGCTCTCAGCAAATTTTGTGTAATAAGTGACCAGAATGGCCAAGCTACATCAAAGCAGGGCAAGTGATTAATTCTCCCAGAGTGTGGTAAGATATGAATGCTCTAAGACAAGGGGAACCTAGAGAACAAAACTGGGCTCTGTAATAGGAAATGAAGTCATGTTTTCACATCTGAGTTAAGCACATACATTTCAATTTTGCTATTCAGACAGTTGTATTTAGTTGTAGTACACCATAGAATAATGTTTTAGTTTGGTGTTTTTCAGGTGTTATACTATCAATTAACAGTATTTATGTTACCATCTATGCATTATCTGCTTGGAACTTGTTATCATTAAGAGATAAACTGATAAGGAATTTTTTGTTTTTCATATCCAGGGATGTTCTCTGTGGAAAATTAGCTTGTGTTCAGCCACATAAAAATACTTATAAAAGTGACGTTCAAGCCACAGTTTATTCATACATTCAAGACCATGTATGTGTATCTATAGCCACTGGGACCTCCGTGAGATCAGATGGAACAGACAATGCCTATGTGGCTGATGGCACCATGTGTGGACCAGAAATGGTAACAAAATGTGATAATTTATATTCAGCTGTGTTAAATTATGTTAATTATCAGATGCTGCATTCCATAATGACTATCATAATTATGTTGAATGGATTTAAACCTTGTGCTGGCATTTATTTCCCATGTGATATTTAAATGATAATTAAAACAATCCTAAGTTATCCAATTACATTGCTTTTTGGATTAAGATATTATCAGTCCTTATGTAAAAAAGTACATATGTGTTTTAAACACAAGATTTTATTAAGTGACATCTGGTAGCTTTAAATTATAAAATGTTAATACAAATTTTTCATTGTTCCTTGCTTCATAAAGATCATTAATTGACTTTACTTATTTCTTAAATTATTTGCTTTGTATCTGATCAAAATATAAGTATGTGAAAGGTTTGGAAGAACCAAACAAAAATCTATACTAGGAAACACTGCTATAGTGAGTATACAAGCTCATGTGTGAATACATGCATGAATATATATGAACACTTATAGCTATAGAGTCATAATATAAAAAGAGGACAAAAAGGCTTTGGGACTTGGTTAATCTTGCAATATAAAGGCACATGTTCCAGAAAACATGGCATAAACATAAAACAAAACCTAGAAATGGAGGATGAGTTAGTCAATTGTTATATCTCGGGTTAGCAACCCTAACTCCTTGAAAAACTTCTGTGTGGCGGTCTGCTCCTGAAACAACTCAGTGATCCAACTTTCTGTCATTCATTCCCCTGTGTAATCCCTTCCTTTGCCTGTGGGCTGCATCTAATGACTTGCTTGTAACAAATAAAACAGGGCAAACGCTTTGGAATGTCACTTACAAGATTAGAGGCTAGAGACAAGAAAGAAGGTGAGAAAAGACAGTGACTTCTGTATTGCATGGACTCTCTCCCTTGCCTTCTCAAATTGCTTACTTTGTTGGCACAAGCTGCTATCATGGAAAATACCATAAGGAAAGCAATTGTGGGACAGTGAAAATCTGAGGCCCTCAGTTCAGTAGCTTGTGAGGGACTTAATTCTGCCAAAAACCACTTGAGCAAGCTATAAAGAGGAGCTTTGCAAATCAGACTAACACATGCGACAACAGTCCCCGATAACTAATAACAGCTTGATTTCAGCTTGTAACAGACTGTGAAGCAGAGAACCGAGATAATATGTGCTTGAATTTCAGACTGACAGAAACTATGATATAATAAATATGTGTTGTTTAAGGTCATTGATTTTGATGATAATTTGTTATGCAGCAATAGATAGCTGATGCAGATTTGACACCTGGAAATATGGTGCTGCTATAACAAATACCTTAAAAAGTGGGAATGAGTATAGAACCAGGAAGTGGGTAGAGACCAGAAGAATGTTGAAGACCAAGATACAGAAAGCTCACATTGCCTGGGACAGACCTTAAGTACAACTCTGAACTTTGAAGACCTGCCTGTTAAGGGCTCAAGTGGTAGCTAGGAGTAAATTACTGAAAAATGGAGGAAGTAAGGTTCTTGCCATTTAGTGGCAGAGAGCTTAGCATATTGTCTTCTACAGTATGTGGAAAGTAGAATGTGTACGTAATAAACTTGGTGATCTAGCTTCTGATTCCTTCTAGCAGCTTATAATATAATATGAAATGAAAGAACTTCAGAGAACTGTTAAATAAAACATAACCATTGATGATTTAAATTCTTAGCCTCTCCAGACAAGAGTGAGACTGTAAAACATTAATTAGTTAAGAGTTCCACTAGATTAGTCAAGATCAACTCTTAACTAATGCTCTACAGTAAAAGACTCAGTGTTACTCAGTTATACAAAAGTCCTTCAAAGAAAGAAAGGTTGTGCCTCACATTTAAAAAAACAGGGCATCTAGAAACTTCAGAGCTTTGTCCTTCAGCCATCTCACAGAAGCCCAAGATAGAAAATGGTTCATTTCAAAAATATTTTTGAGCATGGATTTTGTTTAATGTAACAAATCCCAAAGAGATTCATGGGAGGCCCACAGTTTTTGAGAAACTGCCCATAAAGAGAACACAAAATGAAAAGAGACTATAGAACCCCCAAAATTCCACTGAGAGGAGGCAGGCTGAGACAGCTGCTCAGAGGCAATCACATGCTACCGGTCCTGAAAATGGAAGGAATACTTAGAGAGTCAAATAAGAACTGAGAAGGCAGAACTGAGAGCCGGAAGAGATTATTCACAGACCTTGAAACCCAATCAAGGAACTCCCAAGATATTTCAGAATTGCTAAGGACCAGTAATTCCTCTTTAGTGCCAATCCTGCCCCCTACCCTCCGCCAACACACAAACACACACACACACACTTTGAATTAAAATATCTATAGTTATTCTATGCCTTTATTACCATTATATATTGATGGGGTTAGGAACAGATTACTCTCTAGTGTCAAAGATCTATAAATGGAGCTATACTCAAGGAAGTATACCCATGAACTTAATCCATAGCTGGAGTTAACTCAGATGAAGAAATAGGCTTTGAACTGATGCTATAATGAAATGAGAGTGTTAGAGAGCTTGACAATTAATGTGGTTTTTGTGTGTAAAATATATATAACATTAGAAGATGAACCGTGCTACTCAGCTTTTAAAATACTCTCCAATATCTTATCTTCTTCTCTTCAGTCCCTTTATAATACTCATTCCCTACCAACCATGTGAAGGATGGACATAGTGAATTGCTTCTAACAGAGTATGGAAAAAAATGGTGGAATAAAACTTGCAACATTAGGTTATAACAGGCAGTATTTTCCATTTTGTTCTCCTGCCCTTCTTTATTGCTTACTTGCATGAAACAAGCTGCCATGTTGAAGAGTAATACATGGGAAGAAACTGAATATGGCCACCATCCAAAAGACCTTGAGAAAATGATAACCACGTGACAAATTGGAAAGCGTATTCATTTTAGTAAAACCTTCAGATGAAATTGGTTGGCGTTTTAGGACCAGACTATGCAAATATCTGAAGCAAAAGACCAAGCTATACCATTCCCAGAATTCATTGCTGGAAGAATTGAGCAATGAAACTGAGATAATATGTGTATTGTTTCCTTTTCCTAAGATAAACTTCTAAGAGTGCAATTTCTGATTTGCAAGATAAGTATGTTTTTGGTTCTATGATAAACTGATATAATCTTTGGTTGAGTGGCTATGCCATTTTTCATTTCCACCACCAGTGTGTGAGTGAGCACATTTTCCACCTCCTCACCAGCATGGTATTATCACTACTTATTATTTACTAATTTTTGTATGTGCATAGTGATATTTGCATTCTTTAATGGTTAACTTTATTCAACATTTTTCCTTTATTCATATAATCAACTTATAGGTCATCAGCGTATCCTCCTGTGTAAAGTATCTGATCATATCTTTAGCCTATTTTTAATCAGATTGTCTTTTTTAAAGTTCAATTTTATTGTTCTTTAAATATCCTAAAGGCAAGATGGCAAATATTTTCTTCTACTCTGTACTTTGTTTTACTTACTTTTTTTGGTTGAATTGTATATTTAATTTTATTTGATATACAAAAACCACTTTGAAACACCAAGATGGGAGGATCACTTGAGCTCAGGAGCTCAAAACCTGCCTGGGAAACATAGCAAGACCTTGTCTCTAAAATAAATAATAATATTTTTAAAAATTAGCCAGTTGTGGTGGCACATACTTGTAATCCAAGCTACTTGGGAGGCTGAAGCAGGAGGATCTCTTGAGCTCAGAAGATTGAGGCTTTCACACCACTGCACTCCAGTCTGGTCAAAAGGGCAAGACCCTGTTTCAAAATAAATAAATAAATAAACAATAAGTTGATGAGTTTAGAGATAATTATACAAATGATCACTACTTCCATATTGTAAGCTATTTATAACTTCCAAAAAGTTTTCCCAATCTTTTATTTATTTACCTACTTATTATTGTTACCTTTCTCACAGAAGCATTTAACATTTGGCCTACCCCCTAGGAATTGTTTAAGTGTATAATACGTTATTGTTAACTATATAAACTGTGACATACAGTCAATCTCTAGGAATTACCTATCTCAGATAACCAAAATGTTTTAACTTTTGATTAATACCTCCCGATTTCTCCCTCCCCTCAGTCCCTAGTAACTACCATTCCAGTCTCTGCTTCTGTAAGTTTTATTATTTAAGATTTATCATATAGGCAGTATCATGTAGCATTTGTTTTTCTGTGCTTGGCTTGTTTCTTTTAGCCTATTGTTCTCCAGGTTCATCCATGTTGCTGCAAGTGGCAGGAATTTCTTTTTTAAGGCTAAATAATATTCCATTGGATGTATATACCACATTTTCTTTATCCATTCATCTATTGATGGACATTTAGATTAGATTGCTTCCATGATTTAGCCATTGTGAAAAATTTTACATTGAAGAGGAGAGTGTGGACATCTCTTTGGAATCCTATTCCTTTGGCTGTTTACTCAGTAGTAGAATTGGTGGATCATATGGTATTTCTATTTTCAGATTTTGAGAAGCGTATGTACTGCTTCCTATAGTGGCTATATGAATTTATATTCTCACCAACAGAGTACAAGTGTTCCTGTATTGGTTAATATTAGGTGTCATCCTAATTGGATCAAAAAATGCCTAGATTGTAGTAAAGTATTGTTTCTGAGTGTGTCTTTGAGGGTGTTGCCTGACGAGATTAACATTTGAGTCAGTGGACTGGGAGCGGAAGATCTACCCTCAATGTGAGTGACAGCCTGACTAGAACAAAGCAGAAGGAAGAAGGTAGGATAAGCTGGCTTGCTGAGTCTTATGGCCTTCATCTTTCCCCCATGCTGAATGCTTCCTTCCAACCTCTGCCCATTACCTAGTTCCAAAGTTGCTTTCACATTTTCAGGTAACTTTATAGTAATGCCTCATTTCTCTGGTACCAATATTCTGTATTAGTCTATTCTCACATTGGTATAAAGAACTAACTGAGACTGGGTAATTTATGAAGAAAAGAGGTTTAATTGACTCACAGTTCCACAGCATGTACAGGAGGCCTGGCTACGGAAGCCTCAGGAAACTTATAATCATGGTGAAAACCAAAGGGGAAGTAAGCACATCTCCACATGGCTGGAGAAACAGAGATGGAGGGGGAGGAGAGAAGAGAAGAGAGAGCTGAAAGAAAGGGGAAGTGCTACACACATTCAAACAACCAGATCTCATGAGAACTCACTGTCACACTATCACAAGAATAGCAAGGGGTTAATATGCCCCCATGACTCAATCACCTCCCATCAGGTCCCTTCTCCAACACTGGGTATTACAATTCAACATGAAATTTGGGTGGGGACACAGAGCCAAATCATATCAGTTCCCTTTTCTCCACATCTTCTCCAACTCTTATTATCTTTAGTTTTTTTGTTAATAGCTATGCTTACAGGTATGAGGTGATATCTCACTGTGATTTTAATTTGCATTTTTCTAATGATTGATTAGTGATTTTGAGTATTTTTTCTAACATCTATTTTTCTGATAAATTTCTATTTATATACTTTGCCCAATTTTTAATCAGACTGTTTTCTTATAAATATGTACCATTTGTATATATCAATTAATTGTATGTCAATTAATGTAATTCAGTGCATGTATACAATGTATAATGATCATACCTGGCTAATTAGCAAGCTCAACACCTCAAACTTTTAAAATACAAAAAGTAACTCATGTTAGCAAGAATGCAGAGAAAGGGTAACTCTTACATGCTGTTTGTGAGCATCCAAATTAGTACCGCTATTATGGAAAATAATATGATGTTTCTTCCAAAACTAAAAATAGAGCTACCATGTGATCCAGTAATCCTACTACTGGATGTTTATTCAAAGAAAAGGAAACAAATATGTTGAAGAGATTGTTACACTCTTATGTTTATTGCCACACTATTCACAATAACCCAACTGTGGAATCAACCCTCATTAATGGATGAAAGGATTTTAAAAAATGTGGTACATACACACAACAGAATCATTATTTAGCAATAAACAAATGAATTCATGTTATTTGCAGAACATGGAGGAACCTCGAGACCATTGAGTTAACTGAAATAAACCAAGCACAGAGAAATAAATACCATTTATTCCTATTCATATATGAATGCTAAAAATCGTTTCTTTTAATTTTTAAGCAATGATTTGGAGTTTTTAATTGTACAATGCTTCTCCTTTGTTAATTTTATTTCTAAGTTTTTTTATTGTATTTTTTCTTTTCTCTTACAATTTGGATATCTTTTTATATTTTGCTGAATTGCTCTGGCTAGAACATCTGATATTTGCTCAATATGAGGGACAAAAGTGGGTTGACATATGCAACGTATAATTTATAAGTTGGTTTCATGCAGATTTGAGGAAATAAGAAGTAATTTTTATTCATGTTTAGTATTGTTATATTGTGAATGACTTAAACAGATTTCATGGTGACATTTTGAAATAAAAAAGAAGCTTACAAAGTCAGAAAAAAGTAGAAAAACATAAATGAGGCAAAACACCACATACCCAGGTGATTATTCATGACTGTATTACCCATTTTGACATAATAAAAGTTTTACAAGAAATAAAAATAAAGTTAAATGTTTTTCTTGCCACATTATTCTGATGAATATTATGACAAAGATTCATGATAATTTATGAATTATATTTAAAACCTACACAAAATTAATACTGTTCCAATTTCTGAGAGGACAAATTATTAACATGTAATCAATTATTTATATCAAAATATTAGCATAATATAGAAAACTCATATGATGAGTGTCTCAATCCAGTTGCAGCTATAAATATCAAAAACCAAAACTACATGTAATCCTTACAGAAACCATGTCAAGGTAAACACCGTCAGAGTTTTTGCTTGCAATTACTTTATTGTTTTGCTTTGTATATTAACATAAATATTAATATGATTATTATTATCTTAATCATATTAATAACCATATTAATATTACTAAAAAGTCTTTCAACTTAAGCATCATTTATGCATATATATCAAATTATTAATTTTTTTTCTTGTTTATATGACATTTGTGAATTGTAAAATTTTTGTTTTGTTTTAGTACTGTGTAAATAAAACCTGCAGAAAAGCTCTTTTAATGGGATATAACTGTAATGCCACTACAAAATGCAGAGGGAAAGGGGTAAGTCACTTTTGTATCTGAATTGCGTGTTATTGTTGTAGGTAGTTCAAAATAAACATCTATTTATAAGGATTGAGGGTCTAAGTTATTTTAACTTGCCTAGATCAAATAGACTAATACAAAGAAAAATAACTTACCTAATTTCAACACTATGTAACATATTAAGTGAATTGCATCAGATATATATTGAACTATAAGCACTCACAACTTAATTAGTAATATGTTTAAATAAAAACTTTTTTCCTTAAACACAAATTAATGCATTTTTACTTATATTATGAGCGTACTGTTTTTCTCCCACATACGTTTACTAATTAAGTTATATGAGTATACAGTATTTTACAAAGTATATTTAAAAACATGTTGATATGTCAGGGAATATTTTTATTGTTCTTGTGGAGAGATTTCCAATAGAAAATGCAACTTCATGAAAAAAGCTTTTTTATTTTTTCTGATTTGTCTATTTTAATCTGGTAATTTAAATTTGTTACTTTCATATTGCATTACCATTTATTAAAATTTATAATGTTAGAGTTTTAAAAAATTATTTTCCTAAAATAATATCAGTACATGCTATAGTCAACATTATAAGAGTAACCTCAAATTCACCAGAATGTATCAATATTTAATTCTATAATTTCTAAATTATTTGGATTCAGAGAATATAAAATGCTACTACATTATCAGTAATTTGCTATCAGTTGTTGACCAAGAAAATAGCCACATTTTAATGTTTTGTGTTTTTTTCCTTTCTGTGATTATAATTTTGGCTTGAATTTTTTACTTCCTCTGTTATATTTTAGTTCTTCAGCCTTATTTATTTTTTTTTATAATATCTCAACACAAAATTATACATTGTCAATTTTTGCTACCATGTTTCATTGGGCACACAATTGTTTTCTTAATATATTATTATTTACATTCAGCCATTGTTTTATGTCTACTTTTTAGATTTTTTTGATAAAACCTCTTACTATGAAATATTACATTCATAAAGGAAATACATAAGGTATAGCTTCCGTATTTATTTTAATTTATATATAAACGTGTTATATTTTGTAGTTAAAATGTTTAAAAAGAAAAACTACTTACAAACATAATTATAAGTTAATAGAAATCTTACCGAATCTAGGCAAGTTTGCATAGACTCTAACGACATCTCAATAGACAGCATTATCATTTATCACTCTAGATCAATTTTATTAGCATGTAGGTGAAATGCCATTATTCATGAAATGTTGTTAATTATAATAGTGTTGTTCTCTTTTTATTAATGATATACTTTTCATTGGTTGCCATAGACATTTATAATTTATTACCCTGAAAATTAGTAATCTAAGCATCAGTATCAAGAAGTTAAGAAAATAACAGAATATTAAATTTAGACTTTTATGCAAGTTGCCATATAAGTGGTGGATATTCTTGCCTTGTCCTTATTATGAAAGAAAAATTTCAAGACTTCACACTTTACTATGATATTTATAGAATATTTTTAATGATAATTTTCAATTTCAAATAATACTTTTATTTCTAGTCCAAGTGTTTTCTATTATGGATAAATGTTAAATTTTATCAGACTTTTCTGAGCATTTATTGACTTTATGATTTTCCTTTTTAATCTGTTAATGTACAAATATGTTTATTGATTGTTAAAATAGTAAACCAACTTTAATTTCCAGAATAAAACCAACCATGATCTGCTTTTTTTCCATTTTTGAGTATTTTATTTGATATTAATGTTTCTATCTCATGAATTTGATTGTTTTATATCTTGTACTTAATGTTTCTGATTTTGTATCAAGGTTATGCTATTTTGATGGTGCTTCTTCATGATATATTTTCTATAATTGCTTTTAAAAAATTAGCAGACATTTTTCAGATCAATGTTTGGTTTACATAAAAACAAGCATCAAGTACAGTGAACTACCATTTATCTTTTCCCTCTCCCTCCCCGTTGGCCCTATTATTTTACATCTTTTGTTAGAGTGTTGCACTATGATTCCTGTGCTACTATTTATACATTATTATTAACTACAGTCTATAGCTTACATCGCATTTAACTCTTTTTGTGTGTTCTATGAGTCCTAAAAATATACGGGTCTTAAAAAGTATATGGGTCTTAAAAATATGTTTCCATTATTACAGTTTCATACACAATAGTTTCACTGTCCTAAGAATGCTCCGTGATCCACATATTTAGCTTTTCATCCCTTTCCATAAACTCCTAGAAGCCCATGATCCTTTTACTGTCTCTTAGTAATATTTGTTAAGAGTCCTCCATGTCTTTTCATGGCTTTATGGCTTATTTGCTTTTATCATTGAATAATATTCCACTGTACAGATGTATTACAGTGTGTTTGATCATTCATCTATTAAAGGACAATGTAAGTTTCTTTATTTTCAGTTCTGGGCAATTGTGAATAATGTTGCTATGAACATTCATTTACAGGTTTTGATATGGACTTAAGTTTTTAAATCAGTTGGGTAAATACCAAAGAGCATAACTACTGAGTCATATAATAGCAGCATGTTTGTTTAGTTTTGTAGAAAATTATTCAATTGTCTTTCGAAGTGGGTGTGCCATTTTTCATTCTCGCTAACAATGAATGAAAGTTCTTGTTGCTTGGCATCCTCACCAGCATTTGGTGTTTTCAGCAATTGGTGTTTTAAGGATTCTAATTATTGTTTAGTGGTAATTCAATGTTGTTTTAATTTGCAGGTCTCTAATGACATATGATGCTAAGCATCTTTTATTACTCTTATTTTAAATATGCATATCTTCTATGTTGAAGTGTCCTAATTTTTTGCCTGTTTTTTAAAAATAAATTCCCCATTATCCCCTTCCCCCAGCCCCTGGTAACCACTATTCTACTTGAGGTTTCTATGAATTGACTACTCTAGATACCTCATATAATTGGTGTTATACAATATTTTTCCTTGTGTCTAGCTTATTTCACTTAGAATGATATTTTAGAAGTTCATCCATGTTATATCATGTAGCAAAATTGTATTATTTTTAAGCTGAAAAATATGTCATTTTATGTATATGTCACATATTTTTCATCCATCATTTGTCAATGGATGTTTAATTTGCCTCTACCTTCTAGCTGTTGTAAATAATATTGCTATGAACATTGGTATACAAATACCTGTTCAAGTCCCTGTTTTCATTTCAATCCTTTTGGGTATATACCCAGAAGAATTTCTGGAGCATATGATAATTCTATTTTCAATTTTTTTTTTGGAAGTACCATATTCCTTGCCACAGTGCCGCCAACAATGAAAGCACAAGGGTTCCAATTTAGGGAGATAATGGTTGTATGTTCTAGCCCTTCACAACTCCATTTTCCAAACCCCACATTTCAAGAAAATGATAATAATTCTGCTGTTTGTCTACTAAAAATTGCCCTTACTACTGTCAATCTGGAGTTAACACTTCTAAATGTGCCCAACTGGAAAATGCCTCTTTGAAAAAGGGACAATCATTGGTTTGAAATTATCATTCCTTAAAGAGCTTTCCAGTTTCACTTGTTTTTTATAGTTTTTCAGCTTAGTTATTGCATGTTGAAGTATTCTAAAGTTTAATAATGTACATGATATTCATTCTAGGTTCCCAGAAGTTTCCAATATTTACTTAAGTTGCTAAAAAATTTATGAAGAAAGACTTCAATTTTATTGATTTATTTTTTATGTCTAATTATATCATGTGCTTTTTTTTCTATTAATATCTTACTTCAGTGAATCATAGTAGTTAATTTCCTAAAACTGAATTATCTTTTAATTTCTAGGATAAATTCTCTTTAGTTTTGATTTATTATTTTTTAATATTACACAGTCAGATGTGTTAATATTATGTATGATATATAAGAATTTGTGTTCTTAAGTATACTGGTATGTAGAATTTTTGTGCTAATATGAGATGTTTTATGATCTTGATATAAAAAAATGCAATACTTATAAATCACAGTTATTTATCTAATAACTGGACCACATTTATACTGCCAATTGAATACAAGTATGCCACAAGATATTGAGTCTGATGGCCCACAGGTAATGAGATTAGACATAGAATAAATATTGTTGCAGTGAGAAGCCCATCCAAGGATCTTCAAGGAGTGACAAAACAGAGCAGAATGTGATAATGGGAGCCTATGGCCTCATAGGCAGCATTGATGATAAGAAAAATCTTGAAATTTCTGATCTTTCCCAATGAGCTAAGGATATCTGAAGAAGTACACAACAACCTGTGCATTTTTCTCAGAAATTAATTGTATTATGTATGTGAACAAGAGAGACAGGAAGGTGACAGAGAAACATATTTTCTAAAAACTCAGAGAGTATAGGGTGTAAAACAATGTGAAATGGGGGACTGAATTGGCCAGAATATTCTTTCTGTGTGTGACTTTTTCCACTTTGATAACATTTAAATTACCTACGATGTGATTTTTCTAAAAGTGCTTGTGTATTCTAGAAATCAAAGAAATAGCATTGCTTGGAAAATGACATTGAAAATTGATTTTTAAAAAAATCACATAATCACAAGAAATTTTAACATTAAATTTATCAATAAATAACAAAGAATGCTGTTGAAGCTTAAAATAATTTTAATTATCACAAATTTTTAATGGATGTACAGTAATTTCATTTTATAATCACTTGTGTAAACAGTTTTCTCATTCAGGATTTTGCAGAGCTTATTATTAATATTTTTTAGTCGGGATGTGTGTGACAAAGTAAACACAAAATTTAATATGAGAACATTTACAAAGCAATTTTCTCAATGAAATTTTTTCTTATATGTAGAACTTTTAGGTAAATATAATAGTAAATATGTGTCCCAATATTTTGCAGTTTATCTTCTTATACAATTATGTAATCTAATGGATATTTACTAAAAATAAGTTATCCCATGCTCTTTTTATTTACCTAATTGGTATATTATAAACATTAATTTCTGAGTGTAATATGACATGAAAAATTTGGATTATAGAGTGATTTGG